GGGAGGGAGGGAGGGAGGGAGGGAGGGAGGAGGGAGAAGAAGAAGAAGAAGAAGAAGAAGAAGAAGAAGAAGAAGAAGAAGAAGAAGAAATCAAAACCCAAGGTATCAGGCGTCTAAGACGGAGGCTCAGCACACTTTGTCATCTCTGAGCTCCTCTCATCAAGGCCACAGTTTGCAGAGGAACAAAATAATGGTGGTAATAACGCTCAAGGTAACAAAATAAACTGAACCGTAAACCTCAGATTTAAAATGCTGGGCCAGGTCAAGTCATACTGAGCTTTGCCAAGGCTACTTGACAGTTAATGATGCCATCATTTCCCCATATTCGAATTTTGTTTTGTTTTGTTTTTTCAAGTTATTCTGAGCTTTAATGGCAAGTTGAGATGTATTTTGGTAAAGTCCAGTTTCACAGCAAGATTTGAATACTGAAACCAAGTGAGCTTTCAACAGTGCATGCCCCCCAAATACTACACACAAAATGACTAAATGCCCTAAGAGGGTTTTTTAATCTCTATTAAACCATCAGTTTTTTTTAATAGGGTGTGTGTGTGTGTGTGTGTGTGTGTGTGTGTGTGTGTGTGTTGCCAGAGACTGACCCAGGGCCTTAGCACATACTAAGCAGGTGCTGCACCGGGAAGGAACACCTCCAGATTAGAATTCTCTATTTCAATGTTCTCAACTGAAACTTGGTCAATGTCGAACACAGTTTCATGGCTCCCAGCTTTAATGAACATGCTGTTGCTATATGAAAAACCCAAGAGCTGGCAAAAACCAACACCCGAAGAGTCACATATCGGTTCCAATGCTTTAGTAAGATCTGAAGCAGTTCCAATAGCATCACCCAGAACACTTAGTGTTACACAAGACTCAAACCACAGCGATACACTTGTTTAATTTTCATTTTACTCTTTTACAGATATAGATGATAGAGAGATAAAAGGTTAATACACAGTCTTAGGTACTGGGGGTGGAGCCCAGAACCTTGCACGTGTAAGGTGTTTTGCCACTGGGTGATATGCTCAGCCTTTATTTTTGTGTTTTAAGATTTCCATGCCACATCAATAGTATGCACAGTCTCCACGTGACTGGGCTGAACGGTTTATCCAGGATTCTAGAGGGATGAGCTGAAATGGAGATGACTTAGGGAGGTGGAGAACACTCACAAGGAGGCTAAAATGAAGTCACAAAGACAGAAAAGAATGTTCCAGGAGCAGTGGCCAGATAAACATGGCTGGCAGGCAAGGGTAGTGCGGAGGGTCATCAGAAGAAGGAGAAAATGATTCTGAGACCCCCAAAGGAAGCTTGCTTTGATGGTTTCTACGTCCCCTGAATGTACACCCTTTATACTTGCCAGCTCAGGACCAGGAAAGCCATATGTTTCCCTTCCAAGTCTGCGCAGTGCTGAGATCTCATGCTGTAGGCACTCCAGCCTGAGAAGAAATCGCTACAGTACCACCTTTCCTGCCACCACGCCTTTCCTGCCTACGACAGCCACAGTCATGGCTACTCCCCACGGAGGGGCAAAGGGTGTTCTCCCCAACACAGAGAGGTCACCTAAGTAGGCCAAGCTAAGTATCTCAGTAAGTAGTGAAAACCCTCAAATTAAGATTTCCAACTCAGGCACAGCAGTGGACACCTTAATCCCAGCACTAGGGAGGCACAGACAGACGGCTCTCTCTGAGCTTGAGGCCAGCCAGGTCTACTTGCCTGCCTTAAAAAATGTAATTAAAAAAATTCTAACTCAAGATAGCCAGAAAACAAATCAAAATTTCTATGTGTGTACACATACCTATGTATACACACATAACTTTCATAACGTTGTTTTTCACATACAAATAAAAAAGCTTCTTCCGAATCAAGGGAGAAAAACAGTAAGAATGGAAAACCACCTCTGCAAACCTTACTGAGGACACCCGCACTCACACTCCCTTGGTCTGGTTGGGAATTC